GAAATTGGGGAAGGTTAAACGAAACAATTTGTCTATTTTTGTACAAGTGCCCCTGCCATTTTCTATATAAAAGCCCTTACACGTATGTACAATGTGGATATATTACCTGTATAGATACATATTAACTGTTACCGGCACCCTTCAAAATTTAAATGAAATTCGGATATTTGCCGACCTTCTCTAGTTATTTAATTTAGTGGCAAAGTTATCTTGTAGGTTGAAGTTCTGTTATAAAATCCTGAAACCCCTTTCACGGGATGGTTGATTTCCTAAAGGAAATGTTTAATACGAACTAAATTTTCATTAACTGTAAGTAAAAGATTAGAATCTAGAAAAGCATACGTTATTAGAATATATTCACTGAACAGGGGAGAAAGTTATTTCTAGTAGAAGGATCCTCTGTGGACCTAACAGGTAATTACACCCTTCTAAAAATTTGTAAAGCGTATAAACGGAAGAACTATTGGGGGAAGACAAATTTGGGTTTAGAAGAAATAGAGAAACGCGGGAGACCATTCTAGCTTTATGGGTAACAATAGAGAAAACGATAGATAAATGGGACTAGATGTTAAATATACTTAAAAATTTAGGGATGAGTTATAAAGATTGAAGAGTTATGCTTCCACACATACGGTTTTTTGCCGTGACCGTGCACGGCAACGGTGCCGTGTATAATAGTAATACCTTGGTTTATATGCAAGCTTTCACACAACACGGTTTGCTGCCGGAACCGTACACGGCTGTCGTCGCAGCACGGCTTGGGGACTGCAATGGCACACCGCCGTAGCCGACAAGCAAGTGTATACAAGTATTCACACGTGCCGTGTGTTCACACGGCAAAAATTGTTTTCAGGATCGTTTTTCTCTCTGAATTGTGCAGTTAACAGAAGAAATTATATGGTGTGGCGGATAATAACACCGCTATATTTAATGTGTCGCATATGTGTGTCCTCTTTTTGTNCTCCATTCCTAGAATTCAATTCTTTATCGTCAGAAATGGAAGCCATTGAATCCATAGGTCATTTCAAAAATAGGCTTAGAACATATTTAAATTTATAATAGATACTTTGTCATTATTTTCATTTTTATAACCTTATTTTCACCAGTTATTTATCCCTGTTCAGTTCATAATCATAGTTGATTATGTAGTTAAGTATTTTGGTATATATTTACCTACCTATCATTCTTTTGTTTTATATCACATATTTATTATAATCAGTTTATTTCTTTTTTAATTTCTTGTGGAAAGCATAGTGCTCGTTTATGTTAATGAATAAATAATTAAATGAAGGGAACGGTTGTCATTACTGGAAATTGGGGAAGGTTAAACGAAACAATTTGTCTATTTTTGTACAAGTGCCCCTGCCATTTTCTATATAAAAGCCCTTACACGTATGTACAATGTGGATATATTACCTGTATAGATACATATTAACTGTTACCGGCACCCTTCAAAATTTAAATGAAATTCGGATATTTGCCGACCTTCTCTAGTTATTTAATTTAGTGGCAAAGTTATCTTGTAGGTTGAAGTTCTGTTATAAAATCCTGAAACCCCTTTCACGGGATGGTTGATTTCCTAAAGGAAATGTTTAATACGAACTAAATTTTCATTAACTGTAAGTAAAAGATTAGAATCTAGAAAAGCATACGTTATTAGAATATATTCACTGAACAGGGGAGAAAGTTATTTCTAGTAGAAGGATCCTCTGTGGACCTAACAGGTAATTACACCCTTCTAAAAATTTGTAAAGCGTATAAACGGAAGAACTATTGGGGGAAGACAAATTTGGGTTTAGAAGAAATAGAGAAACGCGGGAGACCATTCTAGCTTTATGGGTAACAATAGAGAAAACGATAGATAAATGGGACTAGATGTTAAATATACTTAAAAATTTAGGGATGAGTTATAAAGATTGAAGAGTTATGCTTCCACACATACGGTTTTTTGCCGTGACCGTGCACGGCAACGGTGCCGTGTATAATAGTAATACCTTGGTTTATATGCAAGCTTTCACACAACACGGTTTGCTGCCGGAACCGTACACGGCTGTCGTCGCAGCACGGCTTGGGGACTGCAATGGCACACCGCCGTAGCCGACAAGCAAGTGTATACAAGTATTCACACGTGCCGTGTGTTCACACGGCAAAAATTGTTTTCAGGATCGTTTTTCTCTCTGAATTGTGCAGTTAACAGAAGAAATTATATGGTGTGGCGGATAATAACACCGGTATATTTAATGTGTCGCATATGTGTGTCCTCTTTTTGTAAATCATCTTGCAATTTTACGCATTATTCATCGAAACTCCTAATGGACATTCGAAACTAATCAAAAATTTGGAGCTATCCTCTCGTAGCTCATGAAATAATGTTATAAGTTCACCCATCAATTGTCTGTTTTCAAGTAGTGGATGAATCCAAAATCTTCTTGTTTTTTGTGTTTTTCTGCGATTATGCCATATCATTAGTAACAACATGCGTTTTTTTCTTTCGTCTATTTTGGTCACGTATCAAAACAAAACTAAACCCGAAGTGAAAAACCGTGTGCAGTGTGAACGCAAAGCAAATGAAATTACGGCACGGTTGCCGTTAGAAAACCGTATGTGTGAAAGCAGCGTTAGTTTGTATAATGAGTAACAGGCAGTTATAGAGATGGGGCTGCAACGTAGAGGAGTAAATATTAGGAAGGGAGTCAGACAGGGATGCACACTGGCACCGCTACTTGTTAAAAAGACGCGATCAACATCATTAAAGACAGTACAACTGTAGGGATAGATATACAGGGGCAAAAGGTGATATAGCTGTATCAGCAAGGTGGAGTTAGATATATTTTTAAATAAAATGGAAGAGGTGTTGACAAAACAATATTGTATGAAAATAAATAAAAGTAAGACAATAATACTGGTATGCAAGAAAAGAAGAAGTAGGGAAAGAGCGATTATAAAGACAGGAGACGTAAAATTAGAAAAAGTGACTGATTTTAGGTATCTAGGAAGTAAGATAAGTCAGGACGGAAGGAGTAGTAAGGAAATAAAGCAGAGGATAGCGCAGGCTCGAGTCACCTTCAATAAAAAGAAGTCACTTTTATGCTCGCGAGCGGATATTTTAGAAATTCGAAAAAGATTGTAAAATTATCTAGTAAAAGGTTTGTAATTTTATCTTATCAATTTTTGCCGGAAGTCTTCGTTTTCGGTGATTTCTAAAAATTCTGTTCTGGATTAATTTTAACTTTTCTAGCAAAAATTTTGACACTACCTATTAAATTTTAAATTTACATCTTCCTGTTGCCTTTTGAAAAGAGGGATTCTCTGCACTTTTTTGAATAATGTATATTACATCTATAATGTTCAAGTCTCCTTTTCTTCCTTATACTGTTTTTACAAGACGCTTATAGTAATCGTTTTACCTTGGGGTATTTGATTCGAAATATTAACCAGAAGTCCGTCCGATTTCTTGATGATACTGTTAAGGTAATCTTTACTACCTGCGAGAGTTCAGTAAACACCGAACTATGAATAGATATTATTTTTATGATCGTTATGCCTTTTTGTCAACTTATTACAGTCCGTATTGGCGCCGATTAGGGAAAATTTATCGTAGTTCCTATAGTGTACCCTGCAATTTCCAAGTTTTTAAATTACGATAAAATGATAAGTTTTGACACAATATGTGATTGGGCTGACACAAAGCCTCGGAAAGGAAATTTCGTTGAAGGTGAGCGTGTTTTTAATGCCAATCACATTATAAAATTCGGAAATAACAAATCCGGAAGCTAGCCTTCAAATTCCGTCAAGTTTACTGCCTACTTTTTACAAACTTCGGATTTAAAAAGTGATTCACGTTATATAATTGGTGAGGTGATTCTGGGTGATTTAAGCAATATCATATCAATGACTTGCACGTGCAAAGCCGATTTAAGAGAACGTTGCAAACACATTATTGCAACTTTGTTGTATTGCAGCAGGTAGGTTCTTAACCTCAAAATACTTATATCGTATCATTAGAATTGTGTTAAATCAATTACACAGGAATAAATAATTTCTCACTTTATAATTTTAGTATGATTCTAGTTTTAAATATTAAGGTTATGGCTGATGGTAAATACTTGCTGAAATATAATCATGTGCATTAAAATGACGTGAACAAATTTTTATTCCGGAATTCACTTCTTTGATACCTACTGCTTTCATCCAAGCTTCTATTAGTTTACTTTTTTCTCTAATTTTCCGAATATATTTTTTACATATATAAAACGGTTAGTTTTTATTGGAAAGTAGTTAATGTAGGTGAAGAGTGAAGATCTATGTCTGAAGTGCTATTGCAGCTTTTCACTGAACATATTAACTTTTTATTTGATTTAACTTTAGAAGAAAACTTCGTCGACTCCATCATCAAAAAAATTTTTACTTTTTTAACGTGTTTTATTATTTTAATAAACAATTTTACAATTTGCGTGCACAGTTCCCATGTAAATTTTTCCCTCATTCGAGTTATAAATTTTGCCACCAGATGGTGTATGCCCATTTGACGGATCCCAATACTTATACGAATGTTCTTCGAGTTTCTCAAGCAGTTTTACCTACAGGTGTTATTACACGAAATTATAAAAAAAATCTATTTTTATCATATTTCTTAATTAATAACACAAGTTGAACAAGCCAACTGAGTAGATATTGGAGAGAACATCCCCCCTTTGGCTAGGGCTCTGACCTTCCGCAAGCTCCGCACTTATTTCAGTTGCACCCTGTATAAATATTTAGTATATGAAGTGCAAAACCATGGTCATAACTCACTTATGGAATACGTAACTTAAATTCTGTGCACGTACTCCTAAAATTGAATAAAGTCGTGCAAAACTGTACCTAACAAAGTTTTTAGACATTAAATGTTAATTGCAATATGATGAAATAATGTGAATACTAGCTAACTGAAATTACTATTTGGAGGCTTTTACGTATCCTCTTGGACTTCTTGGTTTTATTTTTTAATATAAACTACGTTTTTTTTATATATAAAAAAGAATATATTAAACGAAAACGATACAGACAATTTTATAAGTTAGTTTGTTACAAATGTAATTAAAACATAAACAACAAAACGGGGGAAAAAAAGGAAAATTTTATTTTTTGCCTTTAAGCTCATCTAAATGTTTTTTTAAAAGTTTTATGGCTTCCTGCCTTTCCTTCTTAATGATTTTGTGTCCTTTTGCCTTTATATTTTCTAATTCGGCCAAATGATTAATAAGTACCTCGTTAAATTTTTCGACATCTTCGCACTTCTCCTTTCCAATAAACGTCGACACGGATCTTTTAATATCTAGGACCTCTCTCTTAATTTTTTCAATTTTCTTTAGAGTATCATTGACGGATGGATTCAATAGATTATCATCTTCTTCATTTTCGGACTGATTTCCGTCAGTGACATCGTTGCCCTTATGAGAATTTTCCAATTCGTTCTCTAATTGACTTATTTTAGCATATAATTTGCGTAGTTCTTGCTGATATTGTTGCCTTTCTTTATCGAATCCTGCAATTTGCATTTTGTTTAACTGCTCAAAATCTAGTTGGCTTTTGTTAAGCTGATTCTGGAGCTTCATGATCTCTTTTCTCATAAACTGTTTTTCTTCGTCGTACTCGGTTGCTAGTCTTTCCCTTTCGGAGTTGTGTCTGTAAAAAAGGTCATAAAATAGTTTTCTTATTTTGGTGATTATATAAAACATAAAGCGCTAAGTACTAATGGATAACTGCAAGAAAGCTGCAAGTAGGACAAAAACCTAATTTAAAAAGAATGAGTCTCAATAATTATGAATATAGATGGGATGTAGTCAAAATTGGCATAGTCCAAAATAAAACTGTGGCGTTTACTTTCTTCTTTCAACTTATTAACTAGACTAGAGCGGTTGGTGACAGAACGCCTAATTTTACTCACGACAGACGTTGCAAAGAATATCGTACCTAAGCATAGAAAAGAGATGTCAGGTAGGAATTGCAGCGGCCACTTATAAAGAAAAAGGAATAACATAACATTAATTGATGTGTAACAGAAAGGTATGCAGACAAGTAGAATTTGAGCATCTTGCCAGCATCAGTTCAACATTCTCAGGAATTTAGAAAAACAAAATCGCTTATTTAAAGATATAATTCCAACCAGGCCGTTATAAAGCCGACCCTGATCTTTTGCGTACCTCTAACCGCTGCTTACTATTATTCTCTTGAAGCATTTCCTAACGTAACAAGAGCGTGTTCAAAATGCAACAAATGACTACAATCCTAACTGGAAACAAGCAAGAAGATACGTCCATTCTCACAGATAATTTAGTGCAAACTTTGCCAATTTTTATCATTCCATCTATAAAACGCAAGTCGCTGCGCAATGGACAATTCCGTATCAATTTTGGTATCAGTTGTAATAATTTGTTTGCCTATAATTTGTGCAAACACATTTTTGAAAAATTAGCTGCCGGAACAACATATCTTTAAAAAATGCGTACCTATGCGCTAATTGCTGTAAAAAAGAAGCAAGGGAGCATGTAAAGTTCATTGCGTGCGCTCTGAATCGGATGCGCACTACTTTACTGCTCAGCGACTTGCTACCCTTTGCGCAATACATTACCCGCCCCTAAGTACTCCTACAATTCTGAAGCCGTTTTCAAAAAGATACTTAAACAGGGTATTCATAACTGAAATGCTATATTTATTGGGTAATTAAATAAGTTCATGTAGTTTTTGATGGTAAATAATAAAGAAACAATCACACACTATTGTTGATCGAAGTAATTATCATCATATTTAACAACCTTTTGCCGACATGACACCAATTTTTGTATGCCAGTATTTTTTTCAATCAAAAAATTGTCGGATTTAGTTTATTACTTCATTTTGATATTTGAACTACCTATGCCTCATACGATTGTCAATAGACAATTAGGTTGTAATAGGTTTGGTGAAATGCCAGGAAAATATGGAGAGTGTGATAACAATTCCCGGCCAAGTTCAGAAAGTGTCCGGGATACTTTTGCGGTTCGTGGTCTGGCATTACCCTGCAGGAATATAAATTTCATTCGATTGAATAAATAAGACTGTGTTTGGAGGTATTCACAATTCAAGTTAATAGTGATAGTTTTGACCCGTTTCCAAAAATTCATAATGGACAGTTCCAGTGGCTGAATCTTTGGGAGTATATAGAAGCGAATCGGTTAGCAACTGATCATGAAATGGTTCATTATCGTTGAGTGAAATATTTGCCTAACAACGACTTAATTTGCTATCATTTGACAAATATGTTGAATCATTTGCTTAATTTCCACGTCTTTCTTAGCTGATGGAGGTACAAACGACTGGTTTCATCATTCACATAGAACCTTTCGGGAAGCTTTAGGCACATTGCCTACACAACTTGTTGAATATTCTCGTTATTAATGATCTTCAATAACTCAGAGCGTGATTCAACAAGCTGAGATCTCTAGAAGAAAACTTTTTGAACCATTTCTGTGCTGTTCTAGATGGATAGAATGTTCTAGTTTTAAGGAAAAGCGAAGATTAGCTCAGGAGGAAAGAATGGGGGTGCGCGTTTAGTCTTAGGACTGACGACATTATGATGGTGAAGACTCACAACCCTCATGTTTAAGTATGACGGAAGGAGTAGTAGGGACATAAAGCAGAGGATAGCGCAGGCTCGAGTCACCTTCAATAAAAAGAAGTCACTTCTATGCTCGCAAACGGTTAATTTAGAAATTCAAAGAAGATTGTTAAATTATCTAGTAAAATAAAATACTACAAATGGCGCAGTAAACGCCATCTGTAACACGATGCTACATTTTAGGATTACGTATGCTCCAACAAGGTCCACTTGTGTGGATATCTACTTGCTGAAAACGAATCCCGGAGTAGCCAACCTCAACGTGATCGGCACGTCAGTTTAATCGAATAAAATAATTCGAAGTGGTCCGTATTCTGTTGAAACTGCCAGACGCGGATCGCGATTTCGATCTTTTTGGATCTCATCAGCGCGTCGCAGGCAGCTCCGACAGAATACAGACCAACTTTTACCTGTTTAACAGTGGGACGCGCTGAAGAGATCCAAAAAAATCGAAATCGCGATCCGCGTCTGGCAGTTTCGACAGGGATACAAAACACTTCGAATTATTTTATCTAGTAAAAGGTTTGTAATTTTATCTTATCAATTCTTCCAGGAAGTCTTCGTTTTCGATAATTTCTAAAAATCCTTTTAACTTTTCTAGCAAAAATTTTGACATTGCCTATTAAATTTAAAATTACATCTTCCTTTTGCTTTTTGAAATGAGGGATCCTCTGTTTTTTTTTTATAACTTATAATGCGAAGATTAGTTCAGGATAGGAAAGAGTGGAGGGGCGCGTTCAGTCTTAGGACTGACGACATTATGATGATGAAGACTCACAACATTCATGTTACATTCTATAACGATCATGGTAATTACAAGGAAACTCGTTTGTTAAGTTTGTGTTATAGAATGTACAGCGAAGTTATTGTTATTTTTGTTTCGTAATGTGTCTGTACTCTGTTATCACGTAGTTATAACAAACTTGGTTGTACCTACATCAAACATACGTTTCTTGCTTATAAAGAAATTTTGGTTACAACCATCCTGTCCACCTACATACATACATCATGTAATTATGAGTAGGCATTTGTCAGTATATAGAGAAAAGATAAAATTTACTTTACTGTCTACATGCCATTTTTGATATCCATATATCATTTTTCCATATGTTTTTGCTATATACACTTATGTAAATTATCACTTAACGTTTTATTATATTGTTGATAAAGAAAATAAAAATACGTTTTATCAACTAAATATTTATTATTTAAGTATCTATAAATGCTAATCAAAATAGCAAACATGTCCTAACTGATTATAAGTAGACATTATTGTTTTTACCTATTTCGTGGAAGGTTCCCCCTGAAGACGTTACATTTTTTAAAAATAATTTTACTAATGACGTAACTAAATAAATTTCAGATAAAGATAATTAAGATAAGATAAAAAATTTCCTAATTCCACTCGGAAATCTTGGATGGGGTAGTACGGATGCCCGAGGGGATGGATATAGGTATTTATCCTAGGACTACACATTATGGAAACTGGCCACAGAGTACATGGATAAGCAGGACAAACTCCCGATCGTTATTAATAAGAAACTGAATTTGAACAACTGCTGAAACCTATTGATTAACACAATTTATTAGTTACGATGAAAAATCATCTCATATTGTTGGAACAAAATAAAACAAAACAACGCTTGTGCACAAAACAATTTTCAGGTTTAATTTTTAGACTTAATAATATTGTTAATTGCCTTTAGAAGTGACCTACTTAGTACCTATAAAGAAGCTGAATTGATAAGGGATGTCTTTGGCGTATTCTCAGTGGTGGATTTGCTTTGTCCTTTTATAGTAGTAATTATTACAATAAAACATCTAATTAGGTTAAGAATTCATTCATCATTATAAAGCCGTAAGTCCTAAGACTGGTCGGACACGCACCTCCACTTTTTCCTATCCTGAGCTAATCTTCGCATTTTCCTAAAACTAGAGCATAACACATCATTAACTATTTGCGAACAGTAATGTAATCTAGATTTAGCTCTACTTCTTTTAACTCCTATTTCTGCGTTTAACATATGTCTGACTAGCCCTTCATGCCTGAGAGGGTGTCTTGCCAACCTATCTCGCCTATTTCTTATTTACGTCCTCTGTTCTGCCCTATCTCAAGCATTTTTAAAAAATCCAAATAGATTAATAATTGAAACTCATTTAATGATTATTCATATTATATATAATTTTCTGAAAAATAAACAGTTATTTTTGTTTTAAGAAAATTAATTTCTTATCCTCCCAAAATTTCTTTCAGATTATTCTTAATAAAAGATAAACCATTTTTACTCAATATTTTTTTGGCACTAACTACAAAATGCCATTCCAAGTTTCGTCACTTTATCTATGCATATGCTTCTTATTTTTGTGACGCTGAGGTTGTATCTCCTCCCTAACCGATAGTGCTTGAAAATGCCTAGGGAAGTATTTATTACCAGATTCATTTCGATATTTAAAAACATATTTTTTTTAATGTTGATTGGATTACGTAATTGCAATTAACAGTCTAAAAGCGCTTTTTTGTTGTAGCGTTGATTGATGTATTAATTGGTTAACGTTACAATCTGAATGTCAATTATTCTGTATCTACAATTGAAATGAGAAAATTGTGTATATTTTTCATTATGTCACTAAAAGTGTAGTAACTTGGAAATTTTTTGGAATACTGCTATTTCAAATTATGAATTCGTTTTAAATTTTTTGGACTATTACTGTCATCTATACGGCAACATACATGTTCAGGGATTCACAGAGTAAGTTAACTACAGTTGTGTTGACCACTTAAATTATGTTTCCAATTCCTTTTCAAAGATGACACCACAATTGCGATTTTGAACAAAAATTTGTATCACTGTGCAGGTAAACAAATTAACAGAATAATTTAATAATCATTATTCATCATCATAAGGTCGTCAGTCCTAAGACTGGTAAGACACGGACTTCCACTCCTTCCTATTATAAACTAATCTTCGCATTTCCTTGCAACTAGAACATCCCACAACTATTTGTGAATAGTAAACCAATTTAGGTCTACCTCTACTCCTTTTAACATCTGTTTCTGCTTCTAATATGTCGCTTATATGCCTTTTATGCCCGAGAAAGTGTCTTACCAATCTTTCTTATTGACTTCCATATAATCCTTTGTTCTTATGCTCTTTCTAATACATCTTCATTATTACATTTTTAATTTAAATATGTTTAATCACTTTTCATGTATGTATATTAGTACCTCCCTTCATATAGCTATTCAGAAAAGCTATAATTTTAATTTTTAATCAAACCCGTATATTTTATTGGTCCTTTTTTTTATTCAAAGCTATCTTCGAATCAATTGGAACTTGTAGGTAGGAATTTAATATTTCTTAAAAACATCGTACAAAATGAATTAAATAAAAATATGGAAAAAATAGGAAATGAATTGGTCGAAAATGCGTTCGCAAATTGTACAAAAATTCATTAAGTATCTAGGGTCCGATCTGAGGGGAAGGAGGCAGCCGGGCAAATGCCCAAAGCGAAGGGCGGCGAAATTGGGTGTTCCGGCCGGTTTCACAGAGAGAAAAATCTTATACAAATTACAGTATGTCGCCGTGGTCCATGGAGTTTTGATGTTTGACCTTCTCTGGCTGCATCTTCAGTGGTGATTGACGGTTGCAGACGCTTTTTATATTGAAGTTGCTACAGCAAAGGATTTTCGACTTCGTTGGGCCCATGCTGTCTTGTTTATTTGTTCTTTTCCAGTTGATTGCATTCTGTTTATTTTTCATTACAGGTTTCTAATCTTTACTAATGTCTAACTCCTCATCTCTGCTTATGGTATTGGAATGTTGTTCTAGTTCTAAAGCTTCATGCCTAACCGGGTTGTAGAAACCAGGGAGGGGTGTGTTCTTCAACTGGCCGGTGTGATCTTCCTTAAGAGCATGGTCAGCTATTTTCGGAATTGGAGTAATCTAATTCCTCATTTTTGTTCATTTTTCCTCGTAAGTATGCTGCGCTGTCATACCAATATAGTCCTTGCCGCATCCATAAGGTATATGATAAATCCTTGGCGTTAGTAGTGAATCAAGAGAGTCCTTATTTGGTAGTAGTTCATTATTAATTTTGCACGTAAGTAAAAGATGTCACCAGCAAAGAAGGGCGACACGTCTGGAACATCAAAACCCCGTGGACCATGGCAAAACAACGCGGAAGAAATCACCGCATCAAAGGTGATGTTTGGAGTAGATACGACTCTCTATGGGTGTGAAAGATGGATAGAGGAGGCACTGAGGAAAAAGAATGCTAGAAGTGCTTGAAATGTAGAATGTTTAGAATGCCGTGGATGTAAAAGGTTACCAACAAAGGAAGAGTATGGAGATTAACAAAACGCCGGCAAGGTAGGTTGGTAGGACATTTTTTTCAAACATAGAGCATTAGCAAGAGACATACTAGAAGTAGAAATAGGAGTTAAGAGGGATAGAGGTAGACCTTAACCAGATTACTGTTGCCAAGTTTTCGAGAAATGCAAAGTTGGCTCAAGGTAGGAAGAAGGGGGGGGTGCCTGTCTTTTCGGTTTGAAGACTATGATGATGGCGAGAATGATTCACTTTCAACTTACACCATAATATCAAATTTTATGTAAAATATATAATACATTTAAACTAATGAAGCATTAGGTACCAATAAAGGGGTCTAATCTGAAATAAGCTTTTGTTGATTTGGTAACCTACCATCAAAATAGCAAGTACAGCCAAGTGTTCAGCGTAAAATGTCTTCAAGTTTTCTCAAAATTCCTTACAATTTCAATAAGCTCGTTCGATAAAAAAGAATTAACAAACTAATGACCAAATAAAATAAATGGTACCTATTATGATCAGTGATGACCTCACGTTGTTCTAACACAAGTAGTTTTACAAAAAAAAGATGTCTACTGGTTTTGATAGAGGTTTGTTCAATCATCAATCGCAAAATTTACTAGCGCTACCACAAGATCTCTCATTAAAATTTTTAGATCAATTTGCATGTGCGTACGTACCTTGCATTCGTTGCAGCGAGATTCTCTTCCAAAGTTTTAATCTGTTTTTCATACTTTTGCTTTTCTTTATCAAAATTATTAGACTTATTCTGCGTCCTCTGCAGTTCATCTTGCAGCCTTCGAATTTCTTTCTGATATTCAACGCGCTCCTTTTCAAAAGCAGCCACTTGGAATTTCAAAAACGTTTTCTCGTATTGGTTCTTCGGTTCCTGTTGTGAACTGCCATTCGCTAATCCGAATGGTATGAAACTGTAGACTAACGAGCGAACTGTATTTGGTACATTCAAAATATATTCTTTTATTGATGATAGGTAATCGTTTAGTGTTTGGTACTGTTTGGCAACGGTGGTGTTGACATTTGCTGAAACAAACAGAAAATACAATCAACTTTAATATATCCATCCAAGTACCCGAAAATTAATTGGTAATACAGGATACATATACCAGTAAAATAAGATGTAGTAGCATAACATGGGCGGAGAGACGGTCCACCCTAGACCCGAGACCTAAAGGGGACTCGTTTTCTAGGACGTTTATTATGCGCAAGAACCCGCAGACTGTTTTGTAGTTAGATATTAACGATACAGTGGTGAATTTCTTTAGATGAAAACCTATTTTTTTACTAGCCATTCTATCCAGGTGACCATTTACCCGAATTCTAGGGATGTTAGTTGGTGGTGATTTTTTGGTATCATGAACGAGGCCCGTTTAAAAAATATGGCGAATTTCCGCGGGTTACGTATATTTGATTTTCATTTTTTTATGGCGTTATGTTGGTACTAATATCTCTCACTAATACCGACAAGTTCAGCCATGTTGAATGTTGAGTTAATTTTTGCACGTGTTTTGGCTCGTTTTCGATTTTTATCTACTCCTAAAAGTGGATCAAAGAATCTGTATCAAATTTTGTATTGAAAAACAAAGTTAAACGCGCGGATGCATTCCGAATGTTGACTGTGGCATATGGTGAAGCTACCTTGGACCTAAGCAACGTTTATAGGTGGTATAAAATGTTCTCTGAGTGCCAAGAAGATGTGAACAACGAAGAGCGTGCCGGACGCCCGAGCACGTCAATAACAGACAAAAACATTGACGAAGAGAAGAAAATAGTATTGGCCAATCGTCGAGTCACCGTTAGAGACATTGATTGGCTCCTGTCATCCGATTTTTGCCAATGATTTGGGAGACCATTTGACTAGTCGCCGCGAAATTCGTACCGAAGTTGTATGTACGCATTAACATTACTAAGAGCCGTTAAACTCTTTCCATGACGATCCAAGTTTTCTCCTGAGGGTCATAGCATGTGACGAATCATGGGTTTATGGTTATGACGTGCAAACCAAAGCTCAATCATCTCAATTGAAGAAAGAAGAAAAATGAGCGCAAAGAAATCGAGTGTGCGCAAAAAGATACAGTCGAATTGGAAACCTCTCTTTTTTAACTCAGCTGAAAAAAAACATTTTCTTCTCTGGTTCGATTTGATTCTGAGATAAAAACCGTTGACTTTACGAATTTAACTTCAAATCACCGAAACCTTACCGAATTACAATTTTATTATAGCGTGATAATAAATATTAATCAAATATTTAAGGACTTAACGATCTGACTGAACGTAAAAATGGATTTTGAAACCATAATTCTCTACGTTATCTATGATATAAGAAACGTTTTTAAAGCACCTAATTATTGGGTCAAAATAATTTGTTTAGTAACCCAAATATTATAAACAGATTACTATTAACAAATTAATAAAAAAAATCTGCCTTCGAACGTGGACTTTGTTCGAGGTTTTTTAGCTACGTATTTAAATTACAGCGAATGTAGAGTATTTGAAAGAATTCCGTAAGATAATGCAAAAATATTTATAAACTCTTATATTATTAATTACCGCAGCGGATAAAGTACGGAAGATAACAACACTGCATTAAAATTCATGGTAACCTGTCACCAACTAGTAATGAGCGAAGCAAGACCAAGACCATGACTGTCCCATTCTGGTCTTGCGTGGTAAGTCTCGGTCTTGCTCATTTAATCTGACACTTACGTTTTCTTAATAATTCTTCTACGCACAAAGTTTATTTACC